TGGTTATGACGATTAACCGGTGGAAGTGAGGGGCAAGCGTTGGTGGCAGAAATTAGTTGAATGCTAATAAGGCGTACGGTACCGTACGTGCGAAGCAAAATAATGGGCAAATTTGGAAAATTGTACCTGGCACATTGGCCGATGCAAGGTCATAAGAGTGCTCTATAACCAGTATGGCGTACGAGATTTCGAAGCAGTCACTCGCCCTTCGCAACAATGTGACCGAAAGATAAAACGGTGAAGCAGTTGAAGCGCAACGAAGATGACTACTAATTGAAGCGTAGCAGCTACTCATACTGTGCCAAAAACCTTAATGAATTACGAAAAACGAACACTAAGTTCAACCAACAAACTATAGCAATAACAGCGAAGCGCAGTGAAGGCATGCGTTGTCACATGCATTGTTAGAGCAAAAAAAGAAAAAAACAGACAATAGTTGGCCAGCAGGGAAAACAACAACGAGCATCGCCAAGTACACGAATCAGATTTCTCTGGCGGGAAGAGCTGTCAAGCGACCCGGAGACACCACTCAGTATAGCTCAATGGGTCGAGGAGGTACGCAAACCATCGCACCACGTTAAGGTCCAGCCTCGTCGCAACGTATCCCTAATAAAATAAATATATGCCGGATAAGCAGAAAGAAGGAAGAACGTAGTAGACAAGACAAGGAATAACGCTAGGGGAGACGGAAAACAATATGGGAAATCAGCTAACCGACCAAATAAAAAACAGGAGAATGAAGTTGATACGGATATAAAGGTAAGATAGGGTAATTTTGTTAGAAATGCTAGGTTGTGATCTCAATGGTTTCGGTACGGAGCCTTGTTTCGCCAACTGTAACATGGAAATTAACGTGTGTTTGCAGTCTCAAAGGGACGGGCTATTTCCATGTTCGTCAATTATGACCACAAAATGATTAGGAAGGAAGCATGAAGACAAACAAGAAATGTGCCTCAGTTGCAGCAGAATAATTAGGGGGGGGGGGAACATGGAAATAAACAAGGAATGCACTACCTCAGGGCATATCCTGGTTTCTACTTTTTAGCACAACTTTTTCTGTGATTGTACTATCGAGGAATAAATGAGGTAAAATCTCATATCAGCGGGTGTCCACGTGTTTATGTGATGTGAACGGGCTCTGAAACAATTAAACATGGCATAAATATGTCGCCCTATCTTACTGTTTCTCATCAGCAATTTCACTGTGAGCTAAGCTGTACTAACTGCAGCGCATGTTCTCAATGGTCATTCGGTAGAAGCAGGTGCCCCGTGACTGTTTGCATACTCAATTAAGTGCAGAGTACGAGTCTGAACAACTGCCGATGGTGAAGAGCAGGCTTCAGCATATGACTGCGGGTGAGTAGCATGAAATCTGCTAAAGGACATGATCACTGAAGGTGACCACCCTCAGCTAAGAGCCGAAGACTAATGACAGCTCACAGAAAGCTCGCGATCAACCCGCTCGATTTGGTGTGCGGAGCAATGGAACAGTGGTAAATAAGTTAAAGCTTAACAAGTCCCTTAGGATTGTCATAGTGAATATTGCGAAATATGGAAAAGAGGTCAACAAAAATAAACTCACACCGGTGGACTCAACGAGGTGTACGCACTATTAACTGTAGATACATCATCATCATCATCATTACACACGTTAGCTGGAGGTGGAAAACACCTCAGCTATTGTGCCGCAATACAAAAGACAAGAAAAGAAAAAACAAACAGTGGCACGCCCGCTGAGTCTCCATTAACGGATGGACATCGTTCCGAAGAGCTAACAGCTAGCTATCGTGCCGTAAAAAAAGTTATATTATGCCTAACAAGTGACATCGTGATTGGAGGGGATGCTAAGCAGGAGGGGGTGGACAAAGGAATTCACAACACAAACGCCATTGCGGTCGGCTCCAAGCCATATCAGCAAGTGTGTCCAACCAAACGTGTTCACCGTCCTTAGGACCCTAGCCAGGCAGTCGGGATGCAAAAACCGACAATACGGCCCTTGTAATAAACCGTGTCACCTCCTGGTGAACATGCGCAGGAGATCAAAAAGGTGGAACGTATTTTAGGAGCTGACCAGCAGTGACATTCCTAACAGACACTCGTGTTTAGCCATGGGCAATGAGTCACGTAGTATAGTGTACGGAAATGAGCGCATGGTCAACTAGGAGTTTTGAATTCTACTAGCGTAGGATCATGGATGACAGATTCCAAGAGGGCATTCCACGCTTCGCAAACAAGTACGGAAAAAATCCGACGGAATTCCAAATGACTGTACTGCCCAGCCAGCTTGAGACAGTGGGGCGTCAGACTGCTGTTTCGACGGAGCTCCAGCAAATGTCGCCACGAGTGGTTAGGGTCTCTCAAAATCTGCTAAGTCAAAGTGGTACGAGCCATTGACATTCGTGGTTGCCTAGCATGGAGATATCTCCAAACCGGTGAGACATCACCTCCGCCATGGATGCCATACCTGTATTGCGTACTCCACATGTGGACGTATGTATGAGGCGAGAAGCTGTGAAAAATACCGATGGGAAGATGTGTAAATGAACGCCACAGGAAGCACAAGTTTTTGTGGCCTCTTCTTGATGACTTCTCAGTATGATAGAGTCCAGATAAGGCCGGATCAAAACGCCTAGATCCTTTTTTGCTGGAAGTCGTTTGTACGTAACGTATTGCGGCACAATGGCTAAGGTGTTTTCCATCTGCACCTAACGTGACTAATGAATGAATGAATGAATCCTAACGGAATATTATGCATATAATGTACTCGAAGAGCAAGACTAAACGACCACTGCGGTTGAAAGGCACGTCGATGATCATCGACCCAGCATAAACAGCCCGTCTGTCTCCCTGAATCTGGTAGGAGCGTTGGTGTGACTATAAAGCGAAAAAATGGAGACAACCTGCTGTAAATCTGAAGTTCGGGATTCCAGGACGTGGAGGCTAAAATCGACATAAAAGTCTGGTTTAAATACTTGTTTATCACACGCCTCAGTGCAGATGCTAGTTACAAGTCCATCACGGGAGTGGAAGATGGAGTGTGCTAAACGCCACTAATCAGGCGTCGTCAACTATTACACGTATACGGCCCCAAATAGAATTCTACCTTATTGACCGAATCCTCTATTGGGGCACAATAGGCGTCACTGTGTCAGTACAGAGTCGCCATCGTTTTTAATGGATCGGTCGTGCCGAACAGCGGCAGCACGATGTGGATGTCTGTCACGTCGGAGCTTAACCATGTCTCCGTTATAGCGGTGAAGTCACAAGCCAGTGATCTCTGATGGAGTCGAAGTTCAGAAAGTTTGCTGAGTATCCTTAGACGTCTGAAGCGCTCGATAAGGTGTATGAAAGATGTGAATTTACGCCAACCGATGAGAGGCTGGCATCTAATCGTTTTTATGGTTCGTCGGTGAACAGAACAACGCAAAATTTCGATGTGGTTGTTTTCCGTTCTCAATGAATACTGGTCTGAGTATTTGGTTTACTGACTCAATGTTGTGGTTATATTGAGTTCTGTGTGATGCTGCTACCTCGATGACATCTGGTTGCCGCGGTTCTCTAATGGCTGCTATTAATCGTAGTTCCGAAAGACGTGTGCTGCGCAGTTTATGACAGCTACGCATTAAGTTCACTGCCATCCGGTTGGGCTGAACCACGAGTTTCAGTATCCGCCAGCCGCTAGTTTGTAGTGAAGCGACACAGGTAACCCTGAAATCAGCAGCAGAGTTTCGCGGACGACCGCGTCATGAGCATCAGTTTCCTCGTCGGTAGCTGCCAGTAACTTGCAAACACCGTGAGCGGAAATGATTTTGTAGCCACTCGTTGTGTGGTAGGCGTTTGAATTAGTTTGTGTACAGCAGGCGTTCGCTCCGTTGAACATCTGGAAATATGCGTATCACACTATCTTCAGTCTGCAGACAAAAGCACTATCCTCGACATGATCTGTGGATCACAATGTTACTCTATTAGCTAGCACGCACGGTAGTGGATCGAGTTCGGATGTCGAGTGATGCGTATTTAATTGGTCGGCTTGGCTTGAACTGCGATTGGATCGCAAAGGAAATTTCACTGTTTCAAATGATCCTGCTATCTAACTCTTAAGCAGTTCGCTTTGAACTCAGGAATATCGTGGTTTCGTCTGGTCTACGGCGATGTGGCAGGTACGGCTATCAGTGGCTTCGATGACGTCTCTGAAGGTTGCACCTGGTCCATAACCCCCGTTGTGGCCGTAGAAGGTGGAGCTACTGAAGTCGTACTTTGATTATATCGAGCAGCAAGGATTGCATAAGTAAATCTGCCTATTATGAAGTTAGCTTTTTATTGTAAATCGACAGCGTAGGTGTTGTCGAAGTTGGATCAGCCGATACATTGGAGAAGGGGATATGGACGATGGAGTCAGTATGCTTCGATGGTTCGCGACTATCTGGTTCGAAGTCCCCAAGGTTTCCGGTACAGCAAAACAGTAAGAACGTTTGGCCCTTTTAAACGATAGCGATTGTGGGAGATGGATGAGGTACAAGCCCCGCTATTGTAGTCTCTAACGTAGTAAGTTGTTCATGAAAACGATTGCAACCTCCAATGCGAACAACAAAGGACAAAAACCTAAGACTCGGTTCGGTTTAGTCAAATTCAGCCATGAGTTTAGCATGAGGCATCGACAGCCCAACTGTTGTATTCCGTAAAAACAGGCGAGAGTAAGAGTTAAATTGGTGGCAGAATGACGTACACGGTAGTGTATGCAGCACGGCTATATGAGGAACGTGAGAACAAAGAATAATGGCGAAAGAACAAGAGGGGAACCGAACAAACAACGCAAGCGGATATGTTATACATCACAAAGGTTTGCAAAAGTCATAGCACGCGCTTGTGTCGAAATCAGGAATCGCCACATAAAACCGGTTCACCAAATACTATGGATGGTAAAGAAGAATCATTACCGCTTTGCACGGCGAGATGGTGTGCGAGTCAAGTATAACACGAAGCGACTGAAAAATGCTTACAACTTCTCTGGCCTCCTGGATTTCTCGGCGATAGTTTTCAAGCATAGATTCCAATGTCTTTCGGCGTTCTTGAGCCTGTTGAAGGCGCCTATCTCTTTCGAGGCTGTAAAAGGTCATGGAAGTTATGTGCAAGATAGAGAGCCGCACACTACGATAGTGAGAAAAAAACGTGAGTATTTTGAATCACAAACATAATGCACTTACTGAGAAGTATGTAAGTAGTTTCGACGCTGTGCATTATTCTTCTCTAATAATTCTTCAACTTTCTGATGACGTTCAGCCAATGAATTCTCGAGCCTGTTGAGTTCTTCGCTGTCAATGCACCATAAAAGCAGATGTTCATGAATAACTGTTATTCGAAACATGAGAAAATTAAAGGAAAGCCTTGATGCAGCGGAAACCAGATGATGATCGAAGCTTAAATGCCATAATGGAGGACTGCATTCGGACATGAGCAATGAGTATGAGGGGCATCTGATGTTAAATTAAAGTCACATGTGGTACGATATGAGAGGAGCATGTTCAAGTTACATACAGTAAATGCAAAAGTCAAAAAGCAAACCCAATTTTTATATAATGTAAGATCCAATTTCATGATCACAGGAAATGTCGCTCCATATGCAGCGAAATAAAAGTCCTTTTCTTAAAAAGAAACAAACTAAAGTGTTATTCTCAATAGAGCGAGAGCTGCCGCTTACTACTCTCAAGTTTGTGATGGCTTGCACGCGTAAACTGCAATCTAGATGTTAGATGTGCTTGGCTACTAGGCAGAGTACACGTGTGAAACAATGTGAAAACAGCGTGTGGGGGATACGAGCGAAGAAGTCGCCGGTGAACCGGAGCCACTGAAGTAGTAAAAACAATTCACGAGCGGCGTGCAACGGATAACGCTATTCAACGAAACAGGATACAGACAGACAGGTGTGATACAAAGGAAATTCTCACTTAACTTGGCAGAGCCGCATTCCGATCAATGGAGTAACTTACGCACGATCATTCGCAACACTGTGCCTGCGGAGCCAGAATCCACTGTCTTTCACTACGGACACATTAGAGGTACATCGCTGTAAAGGAGAGGCAACCATAAAACTGGAGATTAGTGGAATGGGAAATGACTGTGTGAAAATGCGCAATACACTTTCCGTGGAACTGAGCCGCATTCGATCGGCATGGTTTACGAACGAGGAAACGCACGATGAAAGAAAAAAACCCAATGGAATGAATCGTGTTGACGGTCGGAGTGTATATTTGATATGTAATATGCCCAGTGTTATTGTTTTCTTCCAGTATAGGAAAAAGAAAATAAGCAATAGCAGCAAACTTGACGAATTCGCTGTTTAGTAGATGAAGAGAGTGACAGCCAGCCGCACGGAAAGTGACTACCATTCCGTGAAATGCAGAAAAACGAGTTAAGGTTGTCAAATGACTCTCCGTGAAGCAAAAAGTCAAAGTCGGCGCCTCGATCAAAAATCTCACATTCATAGAACACAAACTCATTTTATATCTCGAGTCAATTAGAACCACCCACTGAGGTAGAACACATCTCCTTGCCATTGCACGCTTGACCGGCGTTCGAGCTTCATTCATGTCGATCTAAATCGATTGTGTACTATCCTACAGTTCGCCTCTGCAGCGATCGATCAGGTTTATGACTTTTGACACCAAATCGTTAGGCCCGAATTTTGATAAACAAGCAGCATGCTCAATGTGGCCAAACCACCACATCCTTCCTTTTTCTTTTTTTTCGTAGTTCGGGTGTTGCACGTTCCATAGCCTCTTCCAATGCGGGCGATCTCTCGGTTTGCTTTGTGCTTGAACAGAAACTGCACCTGATTATTGTCGAATTCTCTAGGGGCATTTGTTTCAAGTAGAATTAGATAAGGATCTACATGCGTCTTTTTAATTTTGATAATTCGATTCTTTGCCTTCTTGAAGACCTTCGCCACAACCTTCCCTTTCGGATGTATCATCAAGTTGTTCCATCCTTTGTGACAACTCCGTGTTACACTGAACTGCACTTCGGTGCAGTGTATCTCGTACAGTGTACTCACGGTGGTCATTGAATCAAGTCTTGACGGTACTGATCGTTCTTGAATTGACAGTGTCCCAATAATCCTTCCATGCTCTTCGCGATCCCACCTGTTATTTGTTGAAATCGCTTGCTTTTCTTGAGATAACGTTAGCCGAACGGCAGCAGCGAGCGAAAAGAGTTGATCGGCGCTCACAATAATCACCAAACCACTCGATTATCTCTGAAAGATCCGGTTCTTCGTCATAATCGCAGAAGTTCCAGGCGTTTAATATCGGCCTTGCATCTTCGCTAAACATCGTTATTTGTTATGATCTCGGATATTCATCTAACGCGATCAGCGTAGCAAAGTCCATCCATTTCGTTTTGTGTCATTTGTAGAGGATGCGGCAATGGAATCAACGTTGGTGCAACAAATGCGAGCGGGGTCTGGTAGGTCAGCACCTCTGCCACCATGTAAAGTGACTCTCTGTGAAGCAAAAAGTCAAATTCGGCGTCTCGATCAGAAATCTCTTATTCATAGAGCGCAAGCTCATTTTATATCTTGAGTCAATTAGAACCACTCACTGATGTAGAACACATCTCCTTACTATTACACTCTTGGCCAGTGTTCGTGCCTCGTTCATGTCGATCGCCTCTGCAGCGATCGACCAGGATACGGACGTTTGGTACCAAATCGTTAAGCCCGACTTCCGAAGAACAAGCGGCATGCTCAGTGTGGTCTCACCATCACAAAGGTGACGCGTTGGAGGCGGCGACGGTCGGAATGATGACAAAGAAACAGGGTCAATTGGTGAGGGATACAGAATGCGAACTGCAGCCAGTTGGGACAATAATCCAATCGTGTTGGAAGTGAGACTATAACGTCATACCGCAGCAATATCAAAAATGTCCACGCAATGTGACAGCAAATTACTAATAAAGCCAATCTTTCCAAACGAGGGGTACATACATATGCGAGTTGTGTTGTTAAGTCCTCGACATCGTTCTAACTCAGTTGGCTCAAGCTGTGACGTAAGTAGCGATACCAACAGCAAGCTGTGAGCAGCATAACAAGCAGATATTGCACGAAGCAACGCTGCTGCGGGTAAACTGGTCGATGAAATGCCTGGACTCAGATAAGTGCCGCAAGTTGGTGACTCGTGGATTCGAACCCATCTGTCAGACATGGCATAAGTGGTCATGTGATAGAGCTATGCCAGAGCGGGATAAATGTTGCCCTGTGAGTACAAAGCATGTTCAAAGTGTACTGAAACGAAGTCACAAGCCATACTGTTCTGATGGATGGACGTAGAGAAGTAAGCAAAGAGGATAATAAGACGATCTTTGGAACTAGGACTCACTCTGATCGGATTCCTATCCTGCTTTAAAGCTTGCGAAGAGTGGTTATCTACCGGACGTTCACATGATTGTTTCCTCATGGGTACCGTCCGCTAAAAAGACAACAACGGAGTTAGACATAGTAAGAGAGGCGCAACGGTGGTTAGCTCCGGTGAAACAGGAAATAGAATAATGTGTTCGATTACGAACAGATGATTGAATGGGCGTAAACGCATCTGCAAATCTCGAATAACAAGTACGAAAGCTCTATTAATGTTCCAGAGTTGTCAGAGATTAGAACGAATTCCGGATGGATATTGAGGCGAAATTGACACCGGGTGAAAGGGGAGTTCGCCCCCAACATAAGGTATGCAACGATAAAAACGTACTCTGTTAAGTCAGCCCAACCAAACAGTTGCTGCAGGGACGCCTTAGACCAGTGAACTGACGTCCAGACACTTCCACGGGTATATGCGCATTATAGAGCACAGAAGAGGAAGTTGATGTGAATGTACATAGGTCCCAGGTAGGATAGGGTGACCGTGTATCCTCATGTGGTCAATCGACTGTGTTGTATAAGAAGTAAGCTCAAAGCATCGAAGAAGAATCTCGCAAGTTCATCAAAGAAATTGTGGTCTAGGATAAATCGAATTGGTGGTTAAATCCTTCGTGCCTCAAAAGGTGCATGCAATGGAGCGGTGATACTTGATTGCCCACCCTAGAAGAAGTATGGGAAGATGAGACAGCCTAAGCCAAACGAACAGACTTGCACAGTGGTGGTGTCGTGCTATGATCTGAACGTCTCCAAATTGCATAGCAGGGTAGTGTTGCAATTAAGAGGTAGTGGTGGACAACGGAAGACTACCTCGTAGCGAGCAAGGAGCAGCTGCGTCACAGACCACAATGGAATTGAGGTGGGCAATGGGTTTCAATTGGGGACGATTACTTGACAAGCACTTAGAATAGCAGCAAACTTGTCCTAGTTATCTTTCAGTAAAACCAACATAACGAGAATTCACCATAACGTAATGTGAGTATTCGAGTGCATCCCTGATCCAATGAACCGTGATGACTGGCACTTTCGGATGCCTTGGCCATTTATATCATTTCGGTAAGCGACTGGGGATCAAACAAAAGTACTCCCAAAATTCACCTCACATAAGTTTTGTGCAGGGTCAATTGTCATCGTCCCAAACACAAAAGCAATTGGTAGCTCCCTCAGAATCGAAACAACAAAAGTAGAGTCACACGCTTAAATATAAGTTTCTACAAGTATATTGCGTTTTTCTGTCATCAGTTCGTATTGAAAAAGTGTAAATTAAATGTACACTGGAGATATTTGGAAACCTCTATCTTCAAAAGAATAACCTGTGCAGTTTTCTTGTCTGAGACATGAGGAAAGGCTAAAAGGAAATTACCAAAAGCAAAACGACCACAACAGAACAAGAGTCCGTTCTGGGAATACAAGCAAGTAAACCCGTCAGTTCTCAACTTGGGAATCCGAAGGAGCTGAAAGCATGAACAGATGTAGCAAACAATTGTGACTAGGCGGCGCCAATAAGGAGCGGAAAACAAATTTACTTGCCATAAAGTAGACCATTTGTGTGCCTACCGAAACTGTGGCAGAAGAATTATTATTGTAGTAAACTGACTAAGCGAGATGGTACTCACCATTCCGGTAATGGACAAGCTGCCACCTGTAACCTGCGGTGGAGCGAGCGAGGCGTACTGCAAGTATCGCATATGAGCCAGCTTCAATCTTTTCGCTTCCTAAAGATGAAGTACAAAGGAAAAGAATTTGGAACAGGAGGAATCTCAATGAAATAAATGCGGGCACCAACAAGTATGCGCTAATGATAAACGACTCGACGACGGCGGAATCCGGTTCCGGATTTGCCTGTCACTGCCGACTCCACAGGACAGTCACAGGACGCCTGGGACTACAGAGGGACCATGGGTGGCTTGCGTTGCATCACTCACAGCTCCATCCACTCACCGATATCCAGTGTAAACCCGAAGGAATAAGATCAGGAGGCATGTGGATGGGAATCAGGTTTTATCAACGGAGCCGCCCACTTCAATAAGTAGAGCTGAAATATTCATGTCTAAATGGGAAATCATGCGTGCCAAACGTACACAGGGTGGTGGTTGGGCCCTAGCCCGTTTCACACCGGATGCGTTGAACAACTGTTAGAGCCTAACATCGTCACGAGAACTGTGCACCTGTACCCCAAGCAAGGACTGACTCCTGCAGCCAGTATAGACGAGGTGGTGGGTAGTAGACAGGTGGGGACTTTGTCAGCATTCACAAAAAGCTCAGCCATACCGGGGGTACCAATCAACAACCAACCCTTGAAATGCAAGAAACTCAACACGCAGGCACAAGTACAGACCAACTAGAACGACAATGCGGCACACGCAACACACCAACCGCTTAATTGTCCTGGGTTAGTAAATCGAATGAAAGCGAATGCAGCCCACTTGCTAACAGCTGAGCTGATTATGCATAGATAATCGGTTGGCTCGTCGTCTTTTGGATTCTGGTCTTAAGTGGCAACGCTGGTGACTTACTAAACTCGCTTGGCTCAGGCACTCGCGATCGTATAGGTTACAGAACCACGAGCACGACGTTGATAGCCTATCCACCATCAGCGTCTGTCGCTTCCGTACCCGGCGTTTCTCCTTGGCGTGCAATAATACTTGCTTTTGCATCTCGACAACCGCCCACTTGATCACCTCACGCACTTCAAGACAATCAACTGTCTTTGATTTCCAACACCTGTAATCAACATAAGTTCGTGATAAACTCACGTTGATCACGTCCTGGTAACCTAATTTCGGTTTGTTCGCATGCCGCTTCCCTTAAGTAAGTTGGGTATTTCCGTGAAATACATGCGGCTGTTATGCCGCAGCCACCTCAAGCGTCGCAGCAGAAGTGGGCAGTCCAGATGCATAAATGCCACTGCGGCGCAGCACTTCCGGGTCTGCAAGAATGTCGCACCAGCCGATCCGCAGAATCCGTCGCAGACACTGTTGATGAAATGCTCCAGATTTCTGACTTTCTTCCTGTACATCGTCCAAATTTCGCTGCCGGATAACACCATCGACCTGTATACCAGCAGCTACGTGCCAACAGTAAGCTGGTGGTTGTTCCACACACGCTTTTCCAACACTTCGGACGCAGCAGACGATTTTGATTGGAGGATACGTAGCACGCTTTTCGTGCGCAGATCGGACGAAAGTACACTACCAAGGTAGCAAAATCTCGATGTGGTCTCCAAGACCAGCAGCAATATCGCTATGGAGACAATTTCCTTGGAAATCTTCAACCTTGATATTTGTCAAACTATTTCCAAGGTCATCACTGCTGTCCTTCGCATACGTATTGAGAGAAAGTCAATATACTGCGCACTTGAAGGTGGACCGTCCAGATTGGAAATCTAGCTTGCAACGCTGGCCTGTCAACAGAATGCAGCTTTAGATTATTCTGTCCAGAAACGTTTAATTGCTCCTCGTTCATAATGACAGCTTATTCATGTGGCACCTCTACATAGTGTCCTTTTATCAAATCCTACAAACCTATAGTTTTGATAATGTAATTTTAGCCCATCCGTAGTCGATATCGTAAAGTGTTGAAAACGGACTCCCTGAATACATAAACCCTAATTTGACTTGACTTGACTGAAAAGAAGATCATGGCATGAAGATGTATATTAAACAGGGCAGGAGCTAAGACACAACCTTGCTTCACACTAGAGACAACTGCAAAGCCGTCCGTGGTCTCTTCACTCAGCTGCACCCTCGCCCGCAAACCACTGTGCAGACATTCAATCAAATTTACAAACTTACTCGGGCAGCCAAATTTACCCAACACCAGCCACAATGCCTCGCGGTTCACCGTATCAAATGCCTTGGTGAAATCAACAAACAGCGAATACAACGGCCGGTATCGTTCCCTGCGCTTCTCCTTCAACTGACGAACCGCAAACAGTATATCTATGGTGCTGTGACTCGAACGGAATTCACACTATTCTTCTGCCACATTAGGTTCCACAACCTGACTGACGAGACGTTTGAGCAGGATTCGGGCGATCACCTTCCGCACACAACTCAGCAAGTTGATTTCTCAATAATTCGCGCAACGTTGCTTGTTGCCTTTGCTCTTGTATAGTGGTAGCGCAAGGGCATCCTTCAGCACGGCTGGCATTGCTCTTCAATCCGCACATATCGCATCAAGTGGTGTAGCGCATTGCGGGTCCGCCGTGTTTGAATAGATAAGGCTGGATCCTTTCGGCACCCGTACATTTGACGTTTCGCAGCATAGCAAGTGCTCTCTGCGTCATATTCACTGTCGGCGTGTCGTAAGACACATTTGCCCTTGTTGTTGCAGTCCGTGCAACATGGCTCAGTCAATCTATGAGCGGTTGTTCAAGAGACAATCAAAGTGCTATCGCCAGATCTGCAGTCTGTGTACAGGCAGCGCCTGCACGTGCACAAATGCGTGAATGAACACTGCCCACGTTGGCTGCATCACGGTGGCACTGGGGTGATTAGAGGCTCCGTTCTGGCCCATATCGCCGATACTGGGCATCAGGTGGATCAAAAACATGCTTTTAGAACAGTGTACAAGATTCCTGCGCACCGAGCGAAAGGTCAACGGTTCCGTACACTTGTCACCGCCGAGGCAATTTGCATTCAATTGATCCGTCCCTCACCATGCTCGCAAACGAAAGTGGTCCACGTACTTCAGCTTCCCTGGTCAGCGCAAATGGAAGACAAATGGTCAACTGCTTCAGGTCAAACTCCGTAACACGCAAGTAAACCATTAGTGCGCAGTTCACTCTTATCGTTGTAGACTTAGCAAGTTTTTACTTTTTTTAGCCCTTATATATGATTGTAATGATCTGAAGATGAATCATTGAAAGCAATTGCTCACCAAATGGTCCTGTCGTTCTCAAAGCTGCGATTTCTATCAGCGCAACACTAATGCAACCTCGGACTCATTACACACCAGTGACAGCGAATGGTAGACCAATCAAATCCTGTTGACTACATGACAATGCGGATGCAATTAAGTCAGTTACAACCTGGCGAAACAGGCGGTTCGGATAGATTGTATTCCAAGATCCTAGAGAGGCCTGCTGATTTCTTGCGCCGGCCATTTCGAAGTGTACACTCCGGGGAGCAAGTAAAACAAGATCGCCAACATCACGTCAGTACTAAGTGAAGGCACAAGCAAAAAGCCCACAATTTCACTGCACTCAGATGATCTGTCGGACTGTGCTTTGCACACATAAAAACATTGCTCCAAGATTGCCAGGGACCAACATCTGGGCTTGCTCGTGGTGCCGATCAGCCAGAAGGGACCCAGAAATGCAACAACCTAGACAGTTATATTAGAGTATGTACCGTGAAGTATGGAAGCGCTTTGCACATCTTCGTAATCTATGATGCCACCAGAGCATCATATCCGCCTGAAAAAACAAGGAGTACAGTGCCGTTTAACGTTCCTGTGCGATTATGAAGCCTGGTTCGTCAGATCAACGAACATAAAGACACTGGTCGCGCTTGACGCCCGTTGCATTCGCAGTTTAGCAAACATCCGACGGGAACACAGTGTGAACAATGAGCATGTTCGGCCACTTGTAGGTGAGGTAAAAAAAAACCAGATTAACCGCTCGGTACCGTTATTTCACGCCCCAGGCTCTGAAGTATGTGCCATAATTTGCGCATGCCAACAAAAGGAGCTCCCGTTTGACTGGAGTGTAAATGAGAAGGGTGGATAACCGATGTTTCGGCGAGGGGAAATGAAAGCTCTTTAAATTGGACCTCGAATGGTGCTTCCCGACTACGGGGTTGGGGTCCCAAAGACGAGGAATACGTTTGGTTGAGGATACTCATTGGTATGACTAGGATAAGACCTCAGCGGCGTTTGTGTTGTGGCTTTGTTTGTCCGCACTTTTCTCGCCAAGCATCTTCCTCAAACCACGATTCTATTCTCGTTACACAAGCAAACACAAGACATCATCCTACGTGTTTTGCCATGTGTTCTATCTTGCATTAGTCAGCACTTAATATTTCTCCTATCGAACGTCGGATGGAAGTGTACTGCAGCACAATAGCTGCGCTGTTTCTCACTTCTGGATAAGATGTACAATGATGATGTCACGTTTAGTGTCCTCGAGAGCCTCATTCTTGAAAAATAACCGGTGACGTCGGTTTAGCATGCAATGGCGTAACTGGCGTATCTTGTGCTGCAGTTCATTCACAAGAACAACAAATATACTAGAGGCTGCACCTGGAAAGTAGCACAGCTTTCAGTCGCTTTGATTGCGAGTTGCAGTTACGAGATTTGCTGGAGTATGAAACGTAATTAACTGGTTTTACAACCGATGGAATAGTTTACCAAAAGTATCCAGCCTAACAAGCTCCGTGGTGAAAACTCCGTCGGTAACCGTAAACTCCAGGGTTCGATAAGCGTCTACTGTCGTCGGACCCATTTTCATCGACGTCGGGAGAAAAGTCCCCTTGAAGAAGCGATATTGAAACATGCAAACGGTGTCAATGGAATACACACACACTATACACGTTAACTAGAGGTGGGAAACAACTTAGCTACTGTGCCGCATAACTAAAAGAAAAAAGAGAATAAAATGCAACAAGTGCAAGCCAGCTGAGCTAGCGGTAACGGATGGACATCGTTCCGGTAAACTAACTGACGCCTACTATGCAGCAGAAAAAAATAATTTACTATACAAAATTATAAAATG